GGGTAAAAAAAAAAAAAAAAAAAAAAAAAAAAAGGCAGAAAAAAAGTAGAGTAGATGAAATATCCTAAGGGTTTTAGGCCTATATACCCTATTTTAATGATTCGTAAAATTAAAAAAACATCATGAATTACACATAGTTTATGTGAACACTATAATAATAGATTATTTTACTTAATCAGAAATTTCCCATGTAATTCTATCTTCATTTTACTGAAGGATGCCAGTCATCACATACCCCTCAGAGAGAAAGAATGGTAGTGGTAGGTCTACTACATGTGGGGAAAGTGCACGTGCACACCTTAATGGCAATATGAAGGCCTTTGATTTTTGCCTAAATGACTCAAAAGCTACTGATAATAGGGGTGAGGACAAAAGACTGTCACAAGGGTTATAACCTCTTTCATATAAGGCACTTCTCAGCCAAATGGCTATGGAAATACTTCTGGGACTTGTGTACAGATAGTGTTATCTTAAGGACAGATAAAAATTTATTTTAATTCTCTCATTTCTCTCTCTCTCTCTCTCAAATATCTGGCAAGATCTGATGGTCTCTAATTTTCCATATGGCCTGCTTTGGCCCAGATTTATCAAGAATATTATAAGCTAGCTCTATGAATTTTCTTGTTTGTCACTGTCAAGTTATTTCTCTGATTACTTAGAAAGGAATAGTCTCTCAGGTACTAGGACAGTTATTAACATATTTCCACATGATACCCTAAACCAATTTACTCATATCAGGTAATAATTCATTGTAAAGAATGCACAGTAAGGGTAAAAGACACATTCCAGGGCCTTGTCACATAAAAAGAATAATAAAACCATTTGTTGCTCTGCACAAAAAGTTAAAAAGTGAAATATTTAAAATTTTAACTTTTCCTTAAACTTGCTGAATAGTTATTTTAAAACTACCACCACAGAAAAAGAAATCGTCCTGATGTACGTTCCTTCTTTATTTTTGATAGTCCTTGGCACTGCATCTGTGAAAGAACATGATTTCCCCAAATAGGAACTAATTTAGATCCAGTTAAGAAATACCATAGAACAAA